TAAGAATAGCAAAATTTAACAGAACAGAAACTAGAACCCTATTCACTGTTGGTGGGAGTGTAAAATGGTGCAACCACTATGGAAGGCAGTATGGCGCTTTCTCAAAAAGTTGCAAATAGAGATATCATTTGACCCAGCAATTCCACTACTGGGAATATACCCCAAGGAAACCATAACCACCACACAAGCAGATTTATGCACACTTATGTTTATTGCGGCTTTGTTCACAATAGCAAAGAGCCGGAAACAATCCAGAGAAGCTGTGGTATAGTCACACAAAGGAATACTATGCAGCACTGAAAAACAAGGAACTCATGAACTATTATACAAAATGGGTAACCATGGAGGACATTATGCTGAGTGAAATATCTCAGTCACAAAAGGATAAATACTATATAGTGCCACTATTTTAAAATAGGACTGACATCAGGGTTGAGGGAGACTGAGAAAGATGAGATAAATTATACTGCATTGAAACAGATGAGGGAAAGAACTGTTTAAAAGGGATATATGATTAGGTATTATCATCATGACAGGAGTCCAAAATGAGGTCTGCATAGTGGAGTAGACTTGGGGGAAGGGATTGTATAACAATGAAAGAATTTTTCTTTTACTCTTCAAAGAGAAGAGCGAACTTTTGGGGAGGGGTGGGCAAGGAGAAAGGTGCAACAATCAATGAATGAAAATCCAAAGTGTCTATAAACTTTCATTAAAATTAATTTAAAAAAACAAAAAAATAAGATTTATCATTTGAAAAACTGAATTGAAATTAAACAAATAAACTAGAAGCAGTACAAAAAAAAAATGGGTGAAGCAGGGAATCATCAGAAATTCAAGTTGGATTTGGAAGAGACTCTGGAACAAAGTTTATCTCCCAATGATGTCAGATGGATATTGGCTAAAAGTGAAGAATACCAGAAAGAGATTTGTGTTTTATTGACTGTAGGATTTTACTATGTGAGTTAAATTATGGATAACATTTAAAGGAACGGGAACTCCAGAACACTTAATTATACTCACATGGCAACTATGCATGGACCAAGAAGCAGTCATGCAGATAGAATGAGAGAATACTGCATGGTTCAAAATCAGAAAAGGTGTGTGTTAAGGTTGTAGCCCTTCACTATACCTATTCAATGTGCATGTGGATCAAACATTTTAAGAAGCTGAGGAGGAATGTATCATCAGGAGAGGAGGAGGATTCATCAACTTCCTAGAATAGGTAAATGAATAACCTGTGATATGCAGACACACAAGCTTGCCTGCTCAAAGTGAAGAGGACTTGAAGAAGAGGATTTAAGACTACTCCTTAAGGATGAATTACATCTCAACACCAAGAATACAAAAGCCTCACCACTAGAGCAATAGGCAACATCATGATAGGTGGTTAAAAGACTGAAGTTGTCAAAGATTTCATTTCACCTGTATCCATAATAAATACCCATGACAGCAGCAGCCAAAAAAAAAAAAAACCAACCAAAATACATATTGCATTTAAAAAAAAAATCTGTGCAGGACACCTTAAAGTGCTAAACAGCAAGGATGCCAGTGTAAAGACTAAGGTACACCTGACTCAAGCCATGGTACTTCCAATTACTTCATATACATATGAGCATTTGTAATGAATAAGGAAGACAGAAGAACTGATGCCTTTGAACTGAAATGTTAGCAAAGAATACTGAGTATATCACGGACTGCCAAAAGAAAAACAAGTCTATCTTGGAAGAAGTGAAGTTGTTTAAAAGTAAACATAGTGAGATTTTGTATCATACAGTTAGAGTATGTTATTAGGAGGTACCAGTCCCTGAAAAGTAACTCAACAATATGAACTAACACAGAAACTGTAAACTATTTAAGCAGATTGTTGATGATGGCACACAGTCGGTAGGGTTTCATTCTGCTCTACTTAGAGTAACTGGGTCCTTGCCAACTCAATGGTACTTAACAAAAGGATGGTTTTAATAAGGCAATTAACATATTGATTTTTCACGACCTTTGATTCATGTATACTTTGTATTATTATAGCTACCAGGAACCTTCTCAATCTCACTGTGTCTCCATTCTAAGAAGCATTATGCCATTGGAGAAATATCATGAGATAACCAGAAACTTTCAGTTAACACTATTTTTCCATAAATAAAATTCAGAAAAAAATTCCAAGAGACAATATGTGAAGATGATTTAAAATATGACCTAATTGAACCTGAGAAAATCCTTTGAAATTGTATCCTCTGAAATTGTTTAAAAGAGGCATTTATCATATTCATGATTTCACTTGCAAAATCAACACCATCAACAAATAAATTTTCTAACACTTAAAGAAATTTCTCTTTCTGGCTATCACTGTAAGAATATTTGGCATTTTTAGCGAAAGTATTTATATGGGTTTTAAAAAATGTCTTCAAGGAAATTAATAAATCCTTTTGGTGTCTGAGGTACAAGGTTATAGTATCTTTAAGATATGGGCATTCTGAACAGTAAAGACATTTTGTTTTAAAAACACGATTTACCTTCAATTGCAGTACTATCCAAGGACATGAAGCTAAGATCTCTCCCCACTGTTTGTAATGGAGTCTAACAAAAGAAACCTTTGGATTAGTTTCACTTATTTATTACTAGTGCAATATAATTAAAATTAGAGATTATAGATAACCCAGAAATAAAAGATAAATAACAAAATTATTCCAAGTAAAATTATGATAATCTAACTATAATGATAAGGAGTTACAACTGCCAAACTCACAGGTAGGTGGTTCAAATCCACCAGCTGCTCCACCAG